TATAATGGTCCTGACTAGGTTTTTCTCGGTGATGGTACATGTTTGGCAATCACCCATATTGGTTCTTCTTCTCTTCCCGCTTCTACTCGTCTTCTTACACTTAATAATACTTTATGTGTTCCGGGTATTCGTAAGCGGTTGATATATGTTGCCAAACTCTGTCGTACTAATCCAGTTTTGGTGGAATTCTTTGCCGATTTGTTTGTTGTTAAGGATCTAAGAACGGGGGCGGCGTTGCTGACCAGAAGGAACAACGGTGATACGTATGAGCTTGGTGGTGGTTCTGGAGCTATCTGTCTTGCGTTGCTCACCACTCGCAACACTCCTGATCTGTGGCATCGTCGTCTTGGGCATCCGTCATCTCGCTCTTTGTCTAGTTTACTTCGTGTCAATTCTCTTCCAGTTGTTAAATCGTCGTCTTTGTCTCATTGTAACTCGTGCATGTCCCATAAGAGTTATAATCTGCCATTTGGTGTTTCCAGTCTTTCTAGTAATTGGCCCTTGGATTTAGTTTTTTCTGACGTTTGGGGTCCTGCACCTATTCAATCAATTGATGGTTTTTCCTACTATCTTGTTCTTGTCGACCATTTTACTCGTTATACTTGGTTTTACCCATTACGTCGTAAATCCAATGTTCTATCTGTCGTTACTACGTTCAAATGTTTGGTAGAAAACTATTTTGCTACTACCATTTGTAGGCTTTACACTGATGGTGGCGGTGAGTTTGTTAAACTGCGTCATGAACTTGATTCTCATGGTGTCACTAATCTTCTCACCCCCACCTTATACTCCTGAACACAATGGTCTTTCTGAACATAAACACTGTCATATAGTTGAAACGAGTCTTACCTTGCTTCATCAAGCCCGTCTTCCTCTCACCTATTGGTCCTATGCCTTTTCCACTGCTGTGTACCTCATCAATCGTCTCCCGTCGTCTTCACTTCGTGGTCAGGTTCCCTTTGTTCTTTTGTTTAATGAGTCTCCCAATTATGTTAAGCTCCGTTTCTTTGGCTTTCTTTGTTATCCCTGGTTGCGTCCCTATGCTCCGCACAACATGCATTCTCGTTCCCCTCCTTGTATTTTCCTCGGCTAGTCTCATCAACACAGTGCCTACAAGTGTCTTGATCCTGTTACTATTCATGTCTTTTTGTCCCGTCACGTTGTCTTTGTTGAATCCGAACTTCCTGGTCTCGGTCTCTAGACCTTGCCTTCCTCGTCTTCTTCCAGTTCGGACCCGGTACCTCCCTCATGGTTTGCCGCATTTCTGCCTCCAGTCAGCCTCATTGCTCCACCAACTGCTCCTCCTTCCCAGTCGTCGTTGCCGCTCTTTCATCCTCACACGCCGGCTACTGCTGAGACACCTTCAGCTCCTACTGTGTCGGAGCCTACTACTTCTACGTCGGCCTCTCCAGCCACCACCGACACGAGTCCCTCCGTGACGCACTCACAGCCGGCTCCTCATCCCATGGTCACCCGAGGTAAAAACAATATACGCAAGCCTAATCCCAAGTATGCTAATCTTGTCACAGCTCCTGCCTCTCCATCGTTGGAACCGACGTCTGTCAAGGATGCTTTGCTCCATCCTGAATGGAACAAATCCATGGCCGATGAGAATGCTGCTCTCCTGGCAAATCATACATGGGATCTAGTTCCACGTCTTCCCCACTATAATGTTGTTGGTAATCGTTGGGTATGGCGTGTGAAGTGCCACCTGGATGGGTCTATCAAACGCTTTAAAGCTCTCCTTGTGGCTAAGGGGTTTCATCAGCGTCCTGGTCTTGACTTTCATGAGACTTTCCGTCCAGTTATTAAATCAGTTACTATTCCGGTGGTCTTTGCTCTTCCTATCTCCCATTCGAGGCCTGTTTTTCAGTTTGACGTCCATAATGCCTTTCTACAAGGGTCGTTGCAGGAGGAGTTTATATGTCCCAGCCTCCAGGATTTCATGACCCTGAGTTTCCACATCATGTTTGTCATCTTCGTCAAGCTATTTATGGCCTGCGGCAGGCACCACGAGCGTGGTATGAGGCTCTTAGTTCGTTCTTGGAGAGCTACAGTTTCGTGAAGACACGGTCTGATGCGTCGTTATTTGTCTATCACCGTGGTTAGGTGACTGCCTATTTTCTCATGTATGTTGATGACTTACAACTCACGGGTAATACTCCTTCATTTGTGGCTGAGTTTCAGCGACGCCTGGCTACTCGGTTTGCTCTCAAGCATCTTGGTCCTGTTAATTTTTTTCTTGGCATTGAAGTTTTTCCGATGGTGTCAAGTTATCTTCTCTCTCTGCATCGCTACGTTGTCGATCTCTTGACTCGGTTTCAGATGCATGATGCCAAGCCCTGTCCTACGCCCCTGACTTCTACTTCTTGGCTGTGTCTCAAGGATGGTTCTCCTTCTGCAGATGCCACCCTCTAATGATAGGTGCTTGGCGCCTTGCAGTATTTGGTTACTACTCGGCCTGACATTGCATTTTCTGTTAATCGCTTGTCCCAGTTCATGCATGTGCTCACTACTCAGCATTGGCATCATGTTAAGCGTCTTCTTCGCTATGTTGCTGGAACTCGCACTCTTGGTCTTCGCATCACTCGCCGTGCTCTTGCTCTTGCAACTTCAGAGTTGGTATGAGTTCGTAATCTTCTATCTGAGCTTCATTATTTGCCTTCGTCTACTCCGGTTCTCTACTGTGATAATCTTGGTGCTGTCAACTTTAGCACCAATCCTGTCTTTCAATCTCGTATTGAACATCTTGCCTTGGACTACTTGTTTGTTCGTCAGCTGGTCAAGTCTCACCAGCTTCTTGTGCGTCATGTTCCTACTGCTACTCATCTTGCTAATTTGCTCACTAAACCGTTGCCCCTGGCTCGGTTTCTGCTGTTAAGTTCCAAGATTGGACTCGCTGATGCTGCCTCCATCTTGCGGGGGCGTAATAGAGTTGATTCGGTGTAGTTGTAGTTTCCTTGTAATACAAGTATTCATGTCCTAGTTGTACATGGTTAGTACGTCTGTAATCTGGGTTATAAATACGCCTCTCTTGTTAATAATACAACACACAATTCCCATATTCTCTACACTTATGCTTTTACATTTCGATTCTACACTTTACGATTTTATCCATTCACCACTTCTAGATAGAATCGTGCTTTTGGCTACATTGGTTGTGTGTGATCGTGAGTTATTTTAAATTGCAAATATGAGTAAATTTCGAAAGTTCCAGCTTCGTATTCAGTGGAATGGTTGGGTGACAAACTCTCAAAAATGATAGCTTATGAAGATGGTGATTCCAGTAGGTTGAAAATTGAGACAAGATTCACGTGGCAAGAACTCTATTATATTTGTGCAAACAAGGTTTGTATGGTGGGGTAGAAAAGAGTTTGTATAATTACTTACTGATATCTAAACATCGGTGGAGGGGGTGTCACGGACAAATGAGTTGTCATCTCCGACAATGATGAGGTTAACCTTTATCCGTGCATATTATTTTTAGTGGTTAGCACGTGTCAACAACTACCCCATCCTAGGACAAGATTAACCTGAGATGGCATTGTCGTATAGTGGCAATCAAGGTCGTATTCTACTCGGGTCCTAGTACCCTAGCCTACTTCCCACCTCGTTGTTATCTAGTCAATCGGGTTGAAGGTTTGTCTGAAGGATTTGAGCGAATTACTAGTTTAGAGATTGAATAAAGCTAAAAGAAGGTACTTCGGGGAACTATCCCTCACCCTATCCTAGGGGCTAGGGCTACTATGTAATGTCTAAATACTTAGGGTTTATCGAAAGTGGTGAGTGAGCTCATTTTCGTGGGCTTTCGTGGTTATCCGCACACCTCCGAGTACGCCTCCTCTAGACCCATACAAAGTCACCTCGATCTAGGCTATCGTATCTAGGGTATCAAGCTTGTAGCTCCTTTCAATGGATACTATCCATCTTCCATATCGAGATTTTATCCCGGGTTCTATCTAGGAAGGCTACCTATGGCAGGGGTTTGGTCGCCTCGACCACCATAGATCCTTATTCATACATCTAACCTCAATTAGCTTGATGGCTCATACCCGTCTAACTCTAGAACTCCATACCCAAGGTAGAAGCATAAAGTAGGCTAATAAAGAAGATTCAGACGACTTATCCAAACACAATCAAGGCTAGAATAGCAATAAAATCAACTACATAAACACATTCATTCATTCAAACCCTAGAATTTTCATACATAATAGTAAACTCTAAAACTACGGTTTGGGGTTAGAACCCCTAGTACCTTAGATGACTACTCCATAAAGAAGGGTAGAAGATACATAGAAGAAATTGAAGAAGACTTGAGGTTGAGGAAGATGTCTCTTCTCACTACAAAAAAGACTGGCAGATGTTACCAGACGATTGGCGTCGCAAAAGGCCCTTTCTCGTCACTAAAAGTTTATTCTGACGAAATACTGTCGTTAGCGGGTTGTGGGGTAAAGGTCCGTAGGTAATAGTCTAAAAAACATTGGCGTCATAAAATCATTTTTTGTGAGGATAAATTATCATAAAACCCCAATTTATCGTTGTCGGAAAAGTAATACACTTGAGGAAAAAAAATTGACGAACAGTTTTTGTGAAAGAGGAAAAACTATTTCTAAGGAAACTATTTTGCCAGTTTAAGTATTTGTGAGAACATTTTTTTGTAAGAAAAAATATTTTTTTTAATAACACTTTGGAATTTCCATTCTCGAAATACCCTTACATGTTTTTGTGATGACTTGTTTATTGTCAGAAAAGGTTGTATAATTAGGCAAAAGTTTTTGTTCCCAAAATACCCTTTTGTTATTTCTGACAAGTAAAAGTCCTCATGAATGGACAACTCCTCATAAATGAAATTGTTACCGACGCAATGGTTTCGTCGGAACACTAGAGAACGACATCATAAATGAAAACATTCATGACGAATAAAATAGATAAATACATTTTATAGCTGAAACGTAATTATTGTCTATGCATTTCCCAATAACAAAATAAATGATCATATATTAAAAACACCAACATAATATTATTAATGACATTATCGTTAATATCAATGACAATTATTGTTCACAACTTACTATACTACTATATACATTTATTAGAAAATCATAATACATTATTAATTAAAATTATTAATTTAAAAATAAAAGAACAAATATTTGTCGCTTCCTCTCCCATCCACTGCCGCTGCCATTGTCGAATCATCGTCATCATGAGATGCATCTCGTTACAACCGGCGACTGTTCTTCTCCCCTCCATTGAAACCCCAAAAAAAGGAAATAAAAATACCAAAGGGGTTAGAATCCGATCAAAAGCCTCGAGAATGAGAATCAAAAGAAAACAACATGCAACCCAAAATTCACTACCTTAGACCATCATCTCTACAGTCAACATCGTCTGCGAGGTCGAAACATGTCGATCTCATCACAGAGCCACGATCAATTGAGATTTCTAGGATCCAAGGAGAGAAATGAAGAAAGATACACAACTGTAATCTCCCTTTCGTTCCCGGCGGGGCCGCCACCGCTGTCGTCCCGCACTTTATTCTATTTTTCCTTGTGCAAAACCACAACCCAGGAAGCTAAAAAACTCATCTAAGTTCTCGTCGTCTTTCTCGACAGTGGTGTACCTCCTCTGCCGCCGGCGAGTACCCCTTCCCTTCTGACCTCATCCAACCGAAATCTAGAAACAAAAGATCGATATCCCATTTTCAAACCAGCAGATCCAAAGAAAAAAATAAACATGCAAGCCTAGAATCTTGACTTACTATCGGTTTGAGGGCTGTCTGGAGCATCATCGCTGCTATTTTTGGGTCTTTGCTCGGTTTCTTGAAAGAATATGAGATAGGGGAAGAAGTAGAATATGAGAGGTAGAAATGGGAAGGAAATAGATCTGATTGAGACAGAGAAGGAGATGATCATTTTTTTAGGAAAGATCAAAGAAGAACTTTGGTCTTCTGTTTGACAGGAAAGAAAACTAATGAAATAGAGAATGAAGGGAAACATAGCGGCTAGGGTTTCCATCTGCCCCCTTACCCCCGTTTTCAAAAATGACCCTTTTACCCACTTTATTTTGTTTAAATTAGACTCTCTCACCACCTTTCTCTCCCAAAAATCGAGGACACTTAAAAAATTAACACACTTTTACCCTCTTTATTTTGTTTAAATTAGACTCTCTCACCACCTTTCTCTCCCAAAAATCGAGAACACTTAAAAAATTAACACAATTATGGCTCGAACATGGGTCACTTTGACTCCTACTGCCTCCAAACGACATGTATAGCCATTAGGCTAACTTACTTACTTGCGTAATACTATAGCACTTTTTTCTTATTCACTAATGTGCATATCATGATCAATAGATTGTGATACTCATATTATGATGAAACTATTTAAAAATAAACACCCAATTATCAAAATAAATTTCCTAAAAAACTCAATCTTGCATAACTAAATATGTAAATAAGGCGCAAATTATAATACACCCATGACCCAACCATTGAAACTTATCGATTTAAGTGGTACCAATTTTGGGCGTTGTGTTGCGTGAATACACTTCCCCACACGTAACCGTACTCTAAAATTTCGCAGACCAAGTCCCGGTTCTGACCCTGATGTTAGAATCAGACAAAATAATGTTCGATCCACTACAAGCTCAGGTCGATGGCGACTCCGAGGAATGCGTGATGGATCCCACGAGCATTTCAAGGGGCGGTCGTGACAATAATAATGAGGCTCTCTTCACGCTTTCAATATATAAAAAATCCCCATTAAGGGGTGTGTCACAAAGTTCTCTACAATAAAATGATGAACTTTGATGTAAATTGATGCAGGCCAATTATTTTTATTGCTTTATAGATGATGCCTAAAACTATAGGACAATGTCATTGTCTTTGGACTTTGGTTTGTGAACAAGGCTTGTTTCGATTATAGAGGAAGAAAGGGAATGAATTCGCATAGAAGCCAGAGAGCTCTTTGTGCTTAAAGATTTTTGTAAGGAATAAATACTCAACGAAATATGAATTTAACATAAAATGTAATCAGTCTAACTATTCTGGACTTTGTTTTGTGAACAAGAGCTCCATGGTCCGAGTACATCTATGACCTTTTCATTAAGGTCATTTTTAATTTCAACTCTTAAAACTAAGAATTTGTTCATATGTAACAAAACTTTTCTGACAAGTGAAATTTGTCAATAATGTTCTATATGTGACGACATTGTTTGCATATTATTGACGACATATAAATTCCTCATAGAAAGTGTTTTCATCACGAAGTTTTTTCAACGAAATAATCATTTGTGATGGCCATTTTGTCCAGTCACTTTTCTAACAAACTTTTATCGATGACCAAATATATTCCCTCATATAAAGGTTTGTTTTTCTGAGAGAAAGCGAAATTCCTAAAAAATAATACTATTTTTCGACCACATTTTCTGAGGGAAAATTTGTGTCCTCAAAAAATTAAATTCAGGAATTTTCCCCTCCTTTTTGGTGTCAGAAAACATATTATTTCTAACGCCTATTTCAATTTGGTCATAAATAATTTGTATTTGTGACAAAAGTCTAAATGTCATTAGTAAAAGTGATATGACATTTCTCGTGTTTGCGAAATTGACTTTTAGTGGCGAAAGTTTTTTGCATTATAGACGAGTATTGATGTTCGTCACAAATATTTTACGTTTTTATGAGGACAACAAATTTTTGTCACAAAATAGGTTATTTCCAACCAAAAATCAGTGTCGTCAGAAGGATTTCGTCACTTCTGCCTGTCTTTTTGGTAGTGTCTCTTCTAGCTCCTTCTCCTTCCTTCAGCTTCTCTCTCTTCTCTTTCTCTCTCTCTAAAACCATAAATTCTTCTCTCAAAATCAGCTTATATTTATAGGCATCAGAGAACGGAGAAGTTCGCGGTCAGGCAGGGCAGAGATCACGGGCGGGATCTTCTATGGCAAGGTCGCAATCTTGCAACGCAGTCATTTTGGCCTTTGAGAGGGAGGAGATCGCGAGCTGACTTCGCGGTCGCGATCTTTCTCACGGTCAAAATGCATTATGGATGTGATCTGACTGACGAAACTATATGTTTCTCCTCGGCTCCTTCTTCACGAAGTTCGTTCCCTGAGCCTTCCAATTCGCGACCGCAATCTTGGGATTTCAGGCCACGATCTTCAACTTGAGTTCGCAGGCCATGATCTCGGTCGTGATCTTCGCTTCTAGGCCACGATCTTCGGTCTTTTGCCCCATTGCTACACTTGTAACCTTGTTTTGTACCTAATTCACATGTATCGTCTAAAACACCCTAAAATCAAATCGAATTCAAATAGGAACGAAATAGGGATGCAATTGACGATGTTCAAGCAATTATGAAAACGAAACAAACCTCAATATGAAGGGTAAATAACACCAATTTAGGTGTTATCAGTGGACTTCCTAGATGAAAACAAGATTGGGCTTGCAGAGGTGTATGTTGAGACTGAGGATGTCGGTCATGGTGGAGTGAGTTACAGATATGATGGCGGTGAATCCTCTTATTACCACCATTATTAAGGTGATGGTGTTGCATGAGGGTACGAATGAGGTGGTTATTCAAACAACTATGAAGGAGGTAGTTATGCCGGCAGCAATGTGGGAGATGGGGTACCAGAGGAAGATACTGCTCCACATCGTGTTAATTCTGTTGAGTCCGCCCCATTTGTTGAGTCAGATGCCATTCAATGGCCGACTTGGGGTTCATAATGGTCTAACATTGAAAATATCATTCGGGCATCTAGGCAATTTGCATAGAGTCGAGATGATGATGTTGGCGGTGATGGTCGCGAGGATCCCACTACGAGATGCCGAGTTATCCTTTTGAAAGAGACAAGGATAGCGAAGAATATTTGGGATCTGTGAGTGAGGAAGAGGATACAGGCAATGACGTTGGGGTCCGGGAGCCACCTACTCCATACTACACAAATATCCTTACTCATCCCTTATATTTTCATAACAAAGATCCGGACTTTATCCCTATGCCAGTGTGGAATCTGACGGCTAATTTGGAGGTGGGAATGACATTTTCCACCAAGGATGTTGTTGGTGATGCTTTTAGAGAAGAAGCCATGCAGCGGAATTTTGAGTGGGAGGTCAATATTCTGACAAAAAACAACTCTGTGTCATATGCAAAAATGCTCGAGACGGATGTCGGTGGGAAGTGCGAGCTGCATGGATGAAGAAAAAGTTACTTGGGTGATTGCACGTGTAGAAACCTTGGCGACGGGGATTCCGAAATTGGTTGCTCCAAATGAAATTGCTTTAGTGATCTATTTGGTAGGTGCCACTCAACGATGTGCCAACAAATTAGAGGCACCTTGCACAGCCAATTCTCTTGATATTTGGGACGCCTCATATTGTGCAACTCTTGGACATGTTTAGAAAATGGGTCCCAAATCACCTACAATCAACAAACATTTGCAATTAATAATCTCGATATCTACTCTAGTAGACTCAAAACACAAAGTATGTACAATAATTGACATATGAATTATACCTGATTACACCAAGGCATGTCAAACTACTCACATTAATACAACAAAGAGTGCTCGGGTTGATGGTCATTTATGTTTTCACCAATCCACCTAGTAAATAAATACAAGTATGTACGAAACTTAAACATCAATGCAATAAAATACATATTTACAAGGTTGAAGGTACAAAAAACTTACCTAGCACCATAGGGGTTGTCTCGTGGTGGTTCGTTAAGCACCCAATTATCTGTTGGGCAACGTGGTGCGAATATCGGAAGATGCTCTGATGCCCATAGTTGGAGGAGGAACATAGCACCACCGGCTTGCTTTGTACTCAACCATGAGGATCCACATAACTCTCGATACACCATACCTAAAACAGCCAATTCCCAACTATTCAACCTGATCGTGTCCTAATCACCGAGGAGCAATGAGAGCCATATGCCATTTATCCACCTATGCGCCTTGTTCGGAAACAACACTTCACCAACCAAGGCGATGAGATAAACGCGGGCATACCACTCCACTTGATCTTCTTGGGTGAATGCATCCAACTCAACCTCATCTGTTATATGATCAATGAGCCACGGGATTTATACTTAACCGATGTGCAACGGCAGATGACTCCATCCCTCTATTGTCGTCGGCATATCGAAGCCACAGTGGTCCCCGACCTCCTTCTTGAACAGCCGAGGTGCCATTGATGGCCTCTTCGGTGATCGACAAACTCAGTGAGGATGATGACATCTCACTGTGTGATCGTCATTTCCCCTAAGAAAAGCGGAAGGTATGCGTCGTGGGACCCACCTCTCTGATATAGCCGTGAGTAGCTCGTTGTTAATCTCCATCTTCACGAAACATCTCACTCTTTCCAGCCCTGCCCTTTCTATATAGGGCACGAGTCGAGAGTCAAACTGAGGCAAGCGCGAGGTCCCTCTATGGACGATGGGAATAAGTGATTCCTACCCAAAAAAATGCACAAAGTAAGTTTTATAACGACGTTTTAAAATAATTAAAAACATGTTTTTGAAAGTAGGGCGTGCTTGCCTGGTTGTTGTTCCAAATCGCATGAGATCGATGATTTGCATACTCACTTAAATATTGTGCATCCCTCGGGCCATGTTGGATATATAATCTAGGATCCTAAATATCTGATGCCATCTATCATTTCAATACAAGAATAATAACATTATTAGATATGTAAACTAATCGTGAAAATACAAAGCGTTCAAATACAATGAAAACTTTTTTGAGTGTTTTGGGCAAAATCATAACTATTCAAAAAGCAAACAACGTTTAGTCATGGTTATTCTACTAATACATTGTTCATATAGCGTTCCGCCATGATTCACGTTGATAAATCATAAAAATATATGATGTACCCTAAGAGCCTCTTCATCTATTTTTTGCAGAAGCCGGATAGATGTTCGACTGGGTTTTTAGTGGGACAATATTTTTCGGAACTCAAGGAAACTGGATTTGATGTGGAAGATCGGACTTGGACGCAACCACAGAACTTACCCATA